GACTTACGACCGGTTGGGGTCGCGGCATTAAAAAGGTTGAGAACCACTGTTTTAAATATTAAAAAGCTTAGGGTGGTTTTCCCTAGATCGGGTAGGCAGCCTTGGCTCTTTTATGACTTGTGGACTTCAACTCCCAGAATTCCTGAGCCAGCATGGCTCAGCATGGAAACCCCTCCCTTTTCCCTCAGCATGGCTGGCTCAGGAATTCTGGGAGTTGAAGTACACGAGTCATAAAAGAGCCAAGGTTGCCTACCCCTGCCCTAGATGTACATAGTACTATCGTTAAAGTATCCAAGCATCAATCCCTGCAAATATTTACTGCGTTTACAGTTCCATAGTCAATGAAATCAGCCATGATAAACATGATGATCAATAGACCCTACAGTTACAAATACCCACATCCTCAGACCTTACACCCTGAAATGGAGTCTATAGTACAAAACTCGGCCAGACAGTATCAGACAGGTATTTGTACTTGTATTGACTGATATCAATATAAGCACTGGGAGGAGCTATTTTACCTCCAAAATTTCTTACAAATGAGTTGTCCATCCTGCACTATAAAATAATAAGCCTCACACAGTATTTGGCTTTATAGCTGTGTCTTTTTTAAAAAAAGTTGGTTAACTAGGTTAATGTATTAAGAGAAACACGTTTCTTGGCATCTTTTAGTGCCAAGCTCTAACAGTTTCTTTAATTCTTTACTAAAATACTTCATTGTTGGGGCCAAGATATTTCATTAGCTGAGGGTCTCTCAAGAATCTGAATATTTATAATAATAATAATAATAAAGTTGGAAGGGACCTTGGAGGTCATCTAGTCCAACCCCCTGCTCAGGCAGGAAGCCCTATACCATTTCAGACAAATGGCTGTCCAGTCTCTTCTTAAAAACTTCCAGTGTTGGAGCATTCACTGCTTCTGGAGGCAGGTTGTTCCATTGGTTAATTGTTCTAACTGTCAGGAAGTTTCTCCTTAGTTCTAGGTTGCTTCTCTTCTTGATTAGTTTCCACCCGTTGCTTCTTGTCCTGCCTTCAGTTTGTCAGTTATAATATGTGATGCGATGTAAGTTCCATCTTTTATGTACATGCATGGAACATTGCAATGGAGGTACTAAAAGGGATGGAGTTTGCATTGTGTTGCCTTGATACTTTGTTATTCTTCCTCTCTCCCCCTCCCCGAAATGCATACACTTAAGGAATGTTCAACTCTGGTTTTCAATTTAAACCGGTACATTAGAAAAACCAATATTCATGAGAAAACAGAAGGCAATGTGACTAGATAAACCAACTTGCCTTTAACTTATGCGTTTTACAGGAAAAATTAAAATAAATAAAACCATTGATTGCATCAAAATCTATTTTATACCAATTTTTGCTACATTTAGCAAATAAGTGAATTACTAATATATGATCAGTTTTTCAGCACGAGGGATTTAACAAAGAGTTCCAACAGAAAGAATGGAACACCTTGAATAGAATTTACATTCTAAGGAAAATAATTGGCTCAAATTATTTGGCAGGTGACTGAGATAGGGTGATGGTAGTGGCTTGTGGCCTTTAAAAAAACTAAAAATGAGGTGCAATTTAAAAAATGTTTTCACTTTCTGCGTGCTATTTTCAGAAAGGTAACCTGCTCTCTTTGGAATTAATTCTTATCGTAGTGGAAAAAAGTAATGCAGCAAAAGTATTTAAATCTCTATGTGATGATTATTTAAAAAAAGAATAAAAGTTGAAGACAAATTTTATTGAATTTGTAAGTTCACTTTACAATGAAATATTTTATGATAAAAATGTTGATTTTAATAAAAATATTAGCATGTCAGTATACAGTTTACACAAGTTTAATGCCATATAAATATGAAGATCATTTCCCATGTCTCAGATGGCACTGGAATCACTTCATTAAAATAATACAATTAATAAAAGTGCATGATATTTGTTCAAACTTTACACAGAAGAATACATAGAATGAGCATATGGAATAAAAAGAGCTACCACCAACATGTTGAATGCAAGAGAGAAATTCCCTCTGAACTAGTTCTAAAAGGAACAAAATTGGATATTTTTATACGGACTAATGTTGCATTTGACTGTACAAATTATATTCACCATGGAATATTAAGTTGAAAGTGATAATTTCTCATGAGTACTGTACGTGACCCTGTCACTTATTTTAACCTGTGCACTCTCATACCAATTTGCTATTTCTTTAAATCAGTTATTTTCCAGGACAAAGATCATTCCTCAATAAATTCAAGCACTATCTTGGGTATGTTTTACTTAACCACACTACTACAAAGTTCAAAGTAAATTAAAATGTATTTCAAAATAAACTTTGTGCATTCCCTTTCCATTATTTTAACAGCAGCTAAAAGATCCACTTAAAGACAAGTTAGAACAAGTTGAAACATAATAGAACACTGTTGGGTACCATACCAGTAAAGAAATATTATTTTAAGAGTTCACATATGTGACTTCAAGAAAAAAGCTATGACAATTAAAAAAAAAGTATTTTAAACATAAAAAACCTTCATTTAACTAAAAATAACTCATATTTTTTTCAAAAAGAATCAGTGATACCATGAAAACAGTAAAACAAAGACACTAAACAAGATATCTATAATTAGCTTATTAAAAATTATTTTAAAGGTGTATCAATTTCTATTTTTAAAAGATATGAGACCAGCTACAAAGCAACAAGATTATTGATAGTTTTCATACCATTAGCAAAAAAATTGTAATGTTTCTGCTGTCAGATAATGCTTTGTTGAAATTGTTGCATAGGCAAATTATACTGTTCATACAAATATTTATGCATCACAGTTCTGCCAGGACATTTCTTCTGTGTAAGTCTAATTGAAATAAATTCTGTTTAAGAAGACATGGAAAAAAAGCAATTTAATACTGGACAGAGCTAAAAGCAAAGCATTCATCCATGTAAGTGTTTACACAGGTGATGCTGCATCTGGCAAGTATTTCCTTCATGCATGGACCATGACTGGCAAACATAATGCAACAAAAACTAAGGGAATTGCTATTATGCCATTTGCCTAAGTCAGAAATTCAACTAAAATAATGGATTTATAAAGTGCTTATCTTTATAGCGGTTGGTTTACTATTTATTATTAAAGCTTCATAAAATAGTTTGTATTTCCTTTTCCCTTAGAAAGAAGGCACTCTCAAATGATATTCTCCAAGCTTCTCTACAAATCATCTTGTGAGCTCAAAATTCTTATTCAATTCTGTGATGATGATTTAAGTACAGACTAAAATGTTAGTCAATACAACCTTATACTTTTTTATACTTTTTCATAGTTTTAAGAATACATAGAGCACCTGCCTGGCTATATATTCAACAGTAATAAAATATGCATATCAATCCCATTTAGGGCTAGTCACTCATTTTCAAGGAATATCAAAATACTGAAATGCAGGTCATGTTTTAAAACTAATATGTTTATAAAAGTATTACTTTCTCAAAACGCTTCCTTGAATGAGTACTTCCTATTTCCTATTCTGATTTGCTTATAGAAAACATTACTGAAGGCCTTCCACTGGCAACTGATTTCAATATATGATCAATTATATAGAATAATTTCCTCTTTCAAAAAAAACAACATACCTCACCCCAATTTGACTTACATGTGGAACAATGCAATAATTCCCATCAACAAATCTGCCAACAAAAGAGCAGCATGCTAAAAGATGGGAAATTGCCCTTATAAATGGTTTCAGAAGAAAGTTTCAATATAAAGTATCTAAACTGGCATATATGCCAACTTTCAGTAGATTTCATCCTTGATAATATTGTGAAATAAATTCTGGAAATCCATCCACTTAGTCCAGTTCTTCTAGCGTTTTATAACCACTTGTTCATAAGCTCCAGATCCCGCTCTGAAAGATTAGAGGAAAAGTTAGAAATAAAAGGAAAGCTTGAACTTGTACAGGAAATCCTCACTTAACGTACACTCATTTAGTAACCATTAAAAGTTACAGTGGCACTGAAAAAGGAATACTGAAAACTGGTCCTAATGATTGTGGCGGTTGTAATATCTCTGTAGTCATGTGATTGTAATTCAGGCATTCAGTGACCACTTGCAAGTATGATCTCATAGTATCAATCACCATTTGCAATCTTCACTGCTGGCTTTCAATAATCAGACAGTGGAAAAGCTAGCAGGTCACAAATGGTAATCATATGATTGCCAGATGCTATGACCCTTAGGATTTGCCTAATCCTAAGTCAGTGTGATCATGTAATATTGCACTTTACGACTGGGTTGTTTAGCAAAGAAGCTCTCATTTGTAAGTGGGGACTACCTGTAGAGCATTTTATGCTTTCACACACAGTAGAGATTTAGTAGTTACAAGACATTTGCAGTTTTCATTAAAAAAAAATCAGTATATGTCTAAGTACCAGGACATAATGTTAGCACAATGTGTGCTCAGATGATAAGAATGGAAACATTTTCAGAAAGGTTTTTTCATACCAGAGAGACATACTGGATAGTATGGATGCAATAGTAAGGTAAGCATTTGAAGTCACAGTTTGTTGTGGACCTTTTTTGTCCAGCAAATAATGGCTAACAATTCCACATGTGGAAGTTGGCATAAATCCATGTGAAAATTGAGAATATCACCACTTACATATTTAGCTATTTTTTACAAGGTGTACTTTAAAAATGGACTCCATCAAAGTTACATTAATTAGAATCTAAACTCGAGTGGTCCTTTGGGACTATTTTGATTTAACCATAACATGAAGGCCATAGTCTTAGAAACAAGAAAAGGGAGAAAGCAATAAAGCTCATATGGGAGACTGACAGGAAATCTCAGATCTGTAGACTAGACTGGAACTTAAATTAGTTTGCCATTGTGTGGAAAAAGACTATACAAATTATTTCTATTTCATTGTGAATTGAGTTAACTTTTTAACCTTAGATCTGATGAGAAAAAAAGAGGTAAGATTGTTTTGGGAGCAGGTTTGTATGTTAACACTCATTTTTCAGAAGAAGCCATAATGTTAAAGAATTAGGGGGTTCTGTTATCCACCCACCAATTTACAACTAAGTTTAACCAATGCTTAAAATGCAACATAAATAAATCAATGCATCCAAAGAATGGAGGTCTGTCCTTTATACTTGTGAGTTGGACAAATGGTGCCATTTCTTATAAATAATTTTCTTTT